GTCTAGTGTGGTGTATCATGCAATAAATATGATGTAATGTCTATATAAAGACGCTAGGATTATTGAACATTATCATTCCATATGGGTACAACCGAACTCTGTCTATTCAGCAAAGTTATTTACGCTGTGAAAAACAGCGTACAGAATATTGGTCTAGTTTTCATTTTGTTTAGAAAAAATCATTATAATGACCGGGCCTCCATATTTGAAACTGATTTCGGTGTTGACAGTATAGCGTACGTTCTGGATGAGTTGGTAAAGTGCATTAAGCACCTGGCGTCGCTGCCTACATAGCTATGACAGGAATGCTTATATGCATCTCACTTGTGCTACTCAGGTATGTACTCTGAGATTTGGAGGAAGCTTACAATGATGTTCAAGCTCTATGTGTCGTATTTCCAGTGAGTGGTCTCATTCGAAGTTACTTGCAGTGGGATGCCTTAGTTGTTTATTGACATAATAACAAAGAATTCACATTTATAATTTGTGGTCGACATCTACTGGGATATTAGAAAAACAAACTTTCCCAGGTAGTGGTCTGTTACTTTGACGATGCAGCCTGTTAACAATGGGAACGCTGGGATCAGAGAGAGACTCTCACATCCTTACTGGTACAGAGTGCCTAGTACACTTACACCACATAGCAGGAGTAGATATATTAAGAAGGTTGCGTTTAAGGGACATGATGACAGAACGCATCATGATTAAGTACAAAATAAAACAAGTTATAATGTTGGTTGAAAGCACGAGTACAATTAAGCCTTTACTAAAAATGTGTTTAAAATATGCAATTAGCTGTCCAATCATATTATTAAGTTAAAAGTGCCTCGATTTAGGGTATTTCATCTAACACATACTCTAGCATTGTCCCATGACGTTTGCATAAAGCTGCATAGCCACCGACTTGCTCCAATGGTGGTGAATATACGTGCTAAGTCACATATTCTACAGTCCGAGTCTGATTGACGACAGTTTCTATTGACTTCAATACTTATGAATCAGTTCATTACACTGTAGTGGGCATCACGCGGGTACTGACCCACAGCCTTATCTCTCGTTAGATAACATTCTAAAATACAAAAACAGATGATATATCAACACTCAATCACCTGTCACAGACAATACGAAGATTCGTTACCGCTTTTATGACAGTCCAGTTCACCCCAGCTCCTTCGCATTTCAACCGCGCTCCATTTCGTGTTGGGAATTTGTGTCATGTCACATTCCAACGCAATGTGACATCACATTCCAATCAGTGTCACATTATTGAACGTTAAAACATACCATAAAACTTTATTACATGTGTATCACAGGGAATATTCACAGTAACCACATCTAAGCAATATACGGGATGGGTAAACTATTTATAAGAATCATAAATACACGTGTACATTACACGTCCATTCGACACGTGAAACCATACAGCGAGCCTTGCGATACAGGCTTATTCATTTCGAACCATAAATTGAAGGCCATTAAACATCCATTCTCAGTTATTCTAAAAGCATTTACTGAAAAATGCCGTGCAATGGCTGTGCAGTTTAGTTGACTGTAGACAATGGCACAAAGAGTGGATTCTTTGTGATTCCATCCGAACTCATTTATCGGAACAGGCCAACTTATTGGAGCGTGCGATGCTTACACATGGTGGCACATGGTACGGTGTTCATTGTACCCATGGCGTGACTGATTCTAAGAGACGCCGAGCTTGTCCCCCGCGGTGTTTACATGCGACCTTTAAACCAACATACGACAAGGGTTAAATCAACGGTGCACAAGTAACCTGCGGTTTAGCAGTTCGAGAGATTTCAGATCGAGCCCAATACCATACACCGTCGCCGCTACTACAAAACACAGTCAACCAACGACTGTGTACATAGGTCTCGACCGTATTTTACCATCGCCACAACTTTATATAGCATTGAGTCATCCTATTACATATGTACCGCGGTATTTATAGTTACAATCTTGCTCATTAATATTAGTATTGACAAAAATATGCAAATAAGGTAAACAAGTCCCTTCTAAATTGAGTTTTCCAGACATTCGATACACAACGTAAATTGCGAGGCTAAATTTTGACACTTCATGTATGTTATTTTAATTCATGGTTTAGCATATTTGAATAATACCACCCCCAGAATAATTTTGTTGTACAAAACAATATTATCAAGTGTCTCGAAATAATTATGCAAATTAGTCACGTGTCATACCGCATCACCAGTGAAAATAACTTCCATACCTCTCAAACTGTCATATATCTGTATAACTCTATAAGTTTCATCAGCAAGTCCTATGTGGTAAAGACAATGCACAAATGCACTATACAGACAAAAACAAACAATACGTTATGTGTAACTACTAAAAAGAAACAAAAATGATATTACAGAAATGTTCTTAATTACTTAGTTTTCTATATTGCATTTTTAAATATTTGACCTTATATTAATAATTCACAGCCTTGGATGAAATGAATCCCATTCTCGACTACTTTTTCATTGCCTTATTTTACAAAGCCTTTCTACTATGCGTGGTGTTCTTCTTCTATCTAATACGATTTCCAAATTACGTCACTTATTATTTTTACTATAACATTCCCAGAAACAGATTAAATTCTACAAATGCGATTTATTTAGTATGGTACAACTGTATTATTGTTTTATTCTAAGATTGACTATATACGTGTTTTGACGCAATATAATGTTTAAATATGATTATTAACCTATTTCCGTTTCTTGTCATAGATACGAGTGAGAGACCTGCTGTTATACCCATACACTGCGTGCAGTATTGTGCATCGGATGTAGTCAACCCAAAAGTGTTTGTGTTTATAGCCAACACCCATCAGGCTTTTCAGGTGAATGTATTCTGTTGTAGCAAGAAAGCCAAGGCGGAGGCTCTAACCATCGCATTCGCCAAGTCGTTCAAACAGTCTTACGGTGAATGGGAGGACAAACTGAAAGATCAAGTAGACAAACAGGGACAACTGCGAGCAAGAACAGGTACGTGGCATGTTAGTTCACACACATTATGGTCACAATGTTCGCACATAGACATTAGTATTTTAGTGTAGATAATAAATTATATATGTACTATTCTGCTGATGTCTTAAGGTAGCGACAGGGTTAAACGTGTCAACAATTGTCTTGCGAATCTCACAAAATTACAGAGCACGCTACTATAAGAACCATGCATCATGGTGAGGCAATCTAATTGTTATTGTGGAAATAACTTTCTGTCATGTGTGTGTATACTGAAACAACATTTTCTGCTTTATTTACAGATCAAATGAGGCCGATGACACCAAGGGGATCAATGACATCGTCATCGGGGTCGTCAACGCCACCATCGCCGCATTCACCAATGACACCGCGTTCCACGGGCAGCGATGATGACATTAAACCTACCAAACCCAAAGGAATTGCCTTATTCGACATGTACGCTATGCACCACGAGTACAGACGACGGGAGTCAGTGTTCAAACAGCCTAGTCATCTTAAAATTGGAAACGATTATCAGACTTTGTCACGAAGTAGCGAAGTCAAGAAATATCTACAGTATGGAGATTCTGATCCAGACGAAGAGTGGTCTCAATATTCTTATTGACAATTCCAAATACATCATGGACTCACTAACTCCGCATTGCCGATTGTTGTATACAATGAACTAAGCTTAAGCAAGCGAGATCACCATGCCAACGAATATCGACAGTTAGTTACAGGGGCAATTAAGTTATTGAGTATAGGTGAACGTTATTTGTTACTTATATTGTCCTGGGCGGCTATCAGAAATCAGACATGGCGTTTGGTGCTTAAATTAGTTTTTGGCATTTGTATTTAAAGGTATTATTTAATGTATGTTTAGAATCACGTGACAACAGAATTACGTGTATTTCTAATTATTTATGTCGTTGTGAGATTTCGTTCGTACTATTACCATAATGACGTCATGACTATAATTCAACGAACCGAGAATATTTTTTCAAATGTATATATTCCTAAATTTGTAAATATAACCACGATATTAATAATCCATATTATATTATATTTGATTTGTATTAAAATGTTTATTTTCAGATGATATCAATTTTAACTACAGCGTGGTGTTGATATTCCCTCAGTAATTGCTAAGCTATGATTGACATATTAACGCACGTACAAAGAATGCAGTTAGCATGCCTCGCATATCTCGATGATTGTAATAAAACTAATAGACCTTTCCCTATTCACGATAAAACGACCTTACCTATATGTCACATGACTTTGTTTAATTGAAAAGTAGCTGCTTGTTTTGTGTTTATTTTGTCAGTGTACTTTTTCTTCGAACTTTTGTATTTCCAACATTAGTTCAGACATTAACCGTACCAAGGATAATGTTAGGATCATTTATACTACCCCCTAGTTTATCGTTTAGTAGTTACTACCCCCTAGTTTATCGTTTAGTAGTTACTACCCATTAGTTTTTCGTTTAGTAGTTACTACCCACTAGTTTATCGTTTAGTAGTTACTACCCCTTAGTTTTTCGTTTAGTAGTTACTACCCACTAGTTTATCGTTTAGTAGTTACTACCCCTTAGTTTTTCGTTTAGTAGTTTTAGTATTTATGCTTATTGGTATATTTACATTAAAGTTATATTTCATGTATCCTGCAACATTTATTCTCACTTGACATCGAACAGACACTCAAATCACGTGACACTTGAAGTTCGGTGAATTGTGTTGTCTTTGTTTCGTTTTACGTTTTAGTCATGTCTCTCGTTACCATAAAGTATTTACCTATTGTTATTTTTTTATGAAATGATGTTGAATTCTTCAATAAAACATTGACAGAACTCGTAATAAAAATCGACGTGAATAGATCGACACAATGTATAGGTATGATATGTATGGTCGGGAGTTGTTTGCTCGTGATTTTGCCGTCATTTGCATGACTGCTTTGCTCTGCCACGCCATCTACAGCGCGTTTTTGAGTTGACAAATATGTTCATAAGTAGCGTGAATTGTAAGCTGTCAAAGCATGAGAAGGCATCTTTTGATTTGACCTGTTTTACGCAACTATAACGAATTAATGTTCACCCTGTATTGTAACTCCTCCACTGAAAATTCTCTGACCCACTTCAAAGAAAGCAGTTCCTTCATATAAATAGAGCGACAGTTGTACAACGTACATTTTTTTCAGAAAACATATAAAATTTGGGTAATTTCGTAGTTCCTGTTTTCACCTAATATACTCGCTTCGGATATCGGAGTGGAACGAATTCTGATTATCGTCTGATATTCAAGACTATATTTAACTGGATTGTCGAATTTTCAGCCCAAGAATCTATCCTCTGAAAATATTCATTAGATAATTGAACACATGTTTTCTATGGTTTTGTGACCAGTGTTTTCTTTAATACAATATCCGATATGATGATGTACACATTTGTAATTCGTAATCAGCTGTAAATGTTCTTGATTGATTTGTTATTAGAACGATGATGATGAAATCAATAGAATTATTCATTCCTGATTTACGTGGACATAAAATGACACACTAAGATTTGTTTTCACCTTCTGGAAGCCTAAAATGATTGGTCATTTGTTTATAGTCTGAATAGAAAGAAAAATCAATAAACCTGGCAAGGGGTGCAGATAACATTTAGATAAGAACAGTCACCACTGGTAGCCTCGTGTGTGTATAGCTCCACCTAGCGGCAATATATTGAAAGACAGACATGACACTAATTGGTTAATTCAAATGATACTACGCCACACTTAATCACCCTCGTGCATCATGTCATATACCCGTGTCTATATACAGTTTAAAATTTTACGTACAAAAAGGTACGTTAAAGTTAGGACGTCTGAACCTGCATACAGAGAAAGGTATCTTGGAATGGCAAAAGACGTCTTGGGGATGGATAAGAGCGTGCAAGTGATCATTCAATCATAGTGAGTTGATCGTATCGATATAATCGTCAGTGGGATAGTCAAACTGGGAATGAAATTTTCTTGAAAGATATCAATGCTATATCAAACCAATGTTATTACGAAATGCAGAGCCGGGTCTTGTTACCCATAACTTAGCTTGGGTCTTGTTACCCATAGATCAGCCTAGGTCTTGTTACCCATAGATCAGCCTAGGTCTTGTTACCCAAAGATCAGCCTAGGTCTTGTTACCCATGGATCAGCCTAGGTCTTGTTACCCAAAGATCAGCCTAGGTCTTGTTACCCATAGCTTAGCCTGGATCTTGTTACCCATAGATCAGCCTAGGTCTTGTTACCCATAGATCAGCCTGGGTCTTGTTACCCATAGATTAGCCTGGGTCTTATTACCCAAAGATCAGCCTAGGTCTTGTTACCCATAGATCAGCCTAGGTCTTGTTACCCATAGATTAGCCTGGGTCTTATTACCCATAGATCAGCCGGGGTCTTGTCACCCATATATCAGCCTAGGTCTTGTTACCCATAGATCAGCCTAGGTCTTGTTACCCATAGATTAGCCTGGGTCTGGTTACCCATAGATCGGCCTAGGTCTAGTTACCCATAGATCAGCCTAGGTCTTGTTACCCATAGATCTGCCTGGATCTTGTTACCCATAGATAAGCCTGGGTCTTATTACCCATATATCAGCCTAGGTCTTGTTACCCATAGATCAGACTGGGTCTGGTTACCCATAGATTAGCCTGGGTCTTGTTACCCATAGATTAGCCTGGATCTTGTTACACATAGAACAGCCTAGGACGTGTTACTCTAAATTATCCATAACTATTCTATAGATCAGACTGGGTCTGGTTACCCATAGATCAGTCTGGGTATTGTACCCATAGATCAGCCTGGGTCTGTTTACACATAGATCGGCCTAGGTCTAGTTACCCATAGATCAGACTGGGTCTGGTTACCCATAAATCAGTCTGGGTCTAGTACCCATAGATCAGTCTGGGTCTGGTTACACATAGATCGGCCTGGGTCTAGTTACCCATAGATCAGACTGGGTCTGGTTAACCATAGATCAGTCTGGGTCTTGTACCCATATATCAGTCTGGGTCTGGTTACCCATAAATCGGCCTTGGTCTAGTTACCCATAGATCAGACTGGGTCTGGTTACCCATAGATTAGCCTGGGTCTGGTTACCTATAGATTAGCCTGGGTTTTGTTACCCATAGATTAGCCTGTGTCTTGTTACCCATAGATCAGACTGGGTCTGGTTACCCATAGATCAGACTGGGTCTGGTTACCCATAGATCAGTCTGGGTCTTGTACCCATAGATCAGTCTGGGTCTGGTTACACATAGATCGGCCTGGGTCTAGTTACCTATAGATCAGACTGGGTCTGGTTACCCATAAATCAGTCTGGGTCTTGTACCCATAGATCAGTCTGGGTCTGGTTACACATAGATCGGCCTGGGTCTTGTTACCCATAGATCAGCCTGGGTCTTGTTACCAATTGATTAGCCTGGGTCTAGTTACCCATAGATCAGACTGGGTCTGGTTACTCATAGATCAGTATGGGTCTTGTAACCATAGATCAGTCTGGGTCTGGTTACACATAGATCGGCTTGGGTCTAGTTACCCATAGATCAGTCTGGGTCTGGTTACCCATAAATCGGCTTGGGTCTAGTTACCCATAGATCAGTCTGGGTCTGGTTACCCATAAATCGGCCTTGGTCTTGTTAGATATAGATCAGCCTGGGTCATGTCACGCATAGATCAGACTGGGTCTGGTTACTCATAGATCAGTCTGGGTATTGTACCCATATATTAGCCTAGGTCTTGTTACCCATAGATAAGCCTGGGTCTTGTTGCCCATAGATCTGCCTGGGTCTTGTTATACATAGATCAGTCTAGGTCCTGTCACCCATAGAACAACCTGGGTCTTGTTACCCATCGACCAACCTGGGTCTTGTTTCCCATAGATCTGCCTGGGTCTTGTTACCTATTAATCAGCCCGGGTCGTGTTACCCTAGATTATCCATAACTATTCTATAGATCAGCCTGGGTCTGGTTACCTATAGATTAGCCTGGGTTGTGTTACCCATAGATCAGTCTGGGTCTTGTTGCCCATAGATCTGCCTGGGTCTTGTTATACATAGATCAGTCTAGGTCCTGTCACCCATAGAACAACCTGGGTCTTGTTACCCATCGACCAACCTGGGTCTTGTTTCCCATAGATCTGCCTGGGTCTTGTTACCTATTAATCAGCCCGGGTCGTGTTACCCTAGATTATCCATAACTATTCTATAGATCAGCCTGGGTCTGGTTACCTATAGATTAGCCTGGGTTGTGTTACCCATAGATTAGCCTGGGTCTTGTTACCCACAGATCAGACTGGGTCTGGTTACCCATAGATCAGACTGGGTCTGGTTACCCATAGATCAGTCTGGGTTTTGTACCCATAGATCAGTAAGGGTATTGTTACCAATTGATTAGCCTGGGTCTAGTTACCCATAGATCGGCCTGGGTCTGGTTACCTGTAGATCAGTCTGGATCTGGTTACCCTTCGACAAGTCCATCGAATCGCACGCGTACATGGCGCCTCCAGTGAGACAGATCACATAGCTGCCTTGAATTGTCCAATGGACATTCTAGAATTGTCGTTGTTTAATGACGTAACCTGGTTATGGACTGGTATATGACATCGAAATACCGTAGTCCACAGTCCGTAAAACAAAGTGACTATAAATAAAGCGTATAAACACGTATTCACAACAAAAAAATGGCCGAAAGTCTCCAATTTGAGACTGCCAAATTTGAGGGATTTAGAATATGAATTTTCGGGGGCTCTAGAACGCATGTAATAGGCCACTTTCAGGACCTCTAGCGTCACACATCCTGGTACTTTCGTACCGTAATGTATAACAGTATCACAAACATAAATAATTGGGGCATTTTAATGTGTATTTTGTATTTTCAACAGAAACATTCACTCAAGTAGCTAAAGCAAATAGTAAAGTCTATGAATTTGTTCTGATATATCAATAAAATAAATTCATTTTTTCTATACCAATGAACTATCGGGATGTGGAAAATTTAGGTCGCTGGTCAGATTA